TATCAAGCAGGGATCTTGAGCCGTGGACGGTGCCCAGAGTCCAAGCGAGCGTGCCAGATTCTCTTAGGTATTCATATATGCATGGCTGCGGACTTCAAACTCTCACTCCATCCCCCTCCCACCTACCACCTCCCGCCCAATCTCTCCCCCACTCGCTCACCCACTCTTATGCCCTGTCCACTGCTTCTCTGCCCCTTTGCCCGGCCTCGTGCGCACCTACGTGCAGGTACGTATACGTTCAACGTGCATGCTTGGCGCAGAGGCGATGAGGCCCTGGGGATACGTGGGTGGTGAGTTTCGTTTAAACGACCTTACCAAATCTCTTATATACCGGTAACCGAAATAATAACCCGTGACGAGATTATTCCATAGATTTAAATCTTCGACTGACTACTTTATTTTTGGCATAAGACCGTGTAAGAACGTTTGTAGAAGGGCGCCTCTAATTTTCAAGAGGTGCAAATTTATCATTCGTATAGTGCAGGGCAGCGGAATTTAATGATGGATCGATGAGTGGTAAGGGTAGCCAATCTATTCCTACCAATCGCACTGCATTTCTATTCGAAACGCCAATTTGTCAATACTTTTTTGCCATCCCGGTATATCGATACCGCTCTTTTTTATCATTTTTGAAAATTTTATATTGAATGCTTCTCATTGGTGGATATTTCGCGGCCATAATAATACAGCTTTTTTATGATGCCCGATATTTATTTTTACGAGACACTTCGATGTTTGCACATTTAGGAATATGATCGCTCGCGCGCGCGCACGCAAACACACGACGACTTATTCGTTATGTTTAATCTCAAACCTTCACCATGTCTTATCTAAAGCAATATAATGTATTTCAGCGACCGGTTCAAAACAAAACAAAAAACAAAAAAAAAAAAAAACAACAAACAAAACAAAACAAAAAACAGAAAAAGAAAAAGAAAAAGAAGCTAGACAGTTTCGTAAATAAATTCGGACGAACTACCAGCGCGGAGACAGAATATCTCGATCCACGTAGGGCAGCCGCCGATAAGAGGCCAAGTTTCACTCAGGTAACTCAACGTTAACCAGTAATTGCTGACTTGGAGTATAGTTGTACAAAGTACCTTTTACAAAAATCGCAGCTCCGGGGTTGAAAAACTTTTGGAAAGCCGTGTAGGTGGCACGGATGCTTATTGCACGAGCGCCACGGCGCCGAAAGTCAGCCGATGCACACATGTATATGACGTTATGCGGTGAAGACGGTGGAGCAGCGGAGAAATGTTGGAAGAGCTGTAACCACACTAATGAGCGACATTGTAGTGCCTCGAGCAACAGAGAGCGAAGGAGGGTACGCGAGGGCGAAAGAGAGGAGAGCAAAGAATAGATTCTATAGGTCGGCTGACCAGTTGGCTCACGGACGCGTGGCACGCAAACCTGATTGACTTGTAGATGAGGCGACAGCCGATACGAACTGGTCGTCGGTCTGGGCAAACCTCCACCCAACTCTGTTTTACGGGACTTTATATACCTTCTTTATCCCTTCTTCGCCCTATGCTCGCTATTATTTTATCTTCAGTCCAAGCTCCCGATATATATGCGCAAATTTCATGTTACTTTGTCCGACATATGTGCTTTGATTTTATTACCCTTTACCAAACTTTACTTGGCAATGGATAATTTGGTTAATTCTACTTCCTCAACTTTGACGTATAAACAATATAACAATTCTAGCTTTTCTCAAAGTTTATTCAATGCTTATTCTTCTGCATTCGATTAGGTATCGATATAATCTACATAGAATATAACTAATCATACCTTATACGATTTAACCAAAAGAATATAATGAGCTTTTTTCTACCTCATTGGGCATCTAAATAAAAATCACATGTACTTTCTTTAAAAATTTTCATTCCAATTATTAACACTAACAACTACTATTTATCGTGTTAAACAAAAGAAGAAGAAAATCTCTATCTCTAATCGAAATCGAAATTAAAGATAATAATAATAATAGTAAATTCTTATTGAATATATAATAATCCGATATCTTTAATATTAATAGCCATTTATCATTAAAGCCATCTTTTTTACTTTAAAACCAATGTAAAAATGTACGACATTAGAATTTTTCGAATGTAAAATTTGTTGCATTCCCAAATGCAAGTTTTTTTTAATGAAAACCAATAAAAAATCGTAAAAATAAACAGATCGACAGGTCTTAAGTGTTTATGTGTAATGAAAGTAAGCGTCACGTAAACTTTCTACTAAATACAGGCGTTCCTTGATTTCTCGGTATTATTTATAATAGCTTTAGAAAAATCGAGAATTTTTCATTTAGCACTTTGAAACAGCGATTTCCCCCGTATAGGCGTACACTGACTATATACACCCACCATAGATCGTTGGCGTTGTGGCGCGTTATCTAGTTAATTAATCTTCCTTGACGATGAGGGAATCATGTACATGTATGCGGTTATACCAAGCTTCTATAGCAAAAACGGCAACTGTCTCACTCATACGCTCTCTCGCGCGCACAGGCTATGTATCTCACTCTCTCACCCGCGCTCTCGTGTATCCCGTCAAATCGTATTACAAAATGTGATGCGTTGAACTAGATCGTACGTAACACTGGTAAATCCGTGTACAAGACATGGGTAATAGAGGGTTGTCGTTTCGCCTTCGTTTTATGGAATCTAAAGACGTCGCACACGCTTCAAAACTTGCATATAAGTTCTTTTATTTGCGCATTCAGCAGTATTAAATAAGTTTTACAGACATTTAGTACCGTTTGGATTGAAGATTTTATATATATCCCCCCCCCCCCCCCCCCCCCCCCCCCCCCCCCCCCCCCCCCCCCCCCCCCCCCCCCCCCCCCCCCACCCACACAATATTGCCAGTGGCATATTTGTAGGATTTAGAATTATCAAATTATGGCCTCACAACATTACATACATATATTATATAAAAAAAAGTCATTATGCGTGTTGCATTAAAAGGCCGTAATTAAATAATTAACTAATTAATTAAGTTATGCATAATTTAATGAGATTTAATTGAAAATTAATTGAAGAATTGAGTGAAAATTTTTAAATAATTCAAATCTCCCTCTGCATTATTGACTTTATTAAAAATTTCAATAAGCTCGGACAAGCAGCAATAAAACAACGTGATTCTAAATTTTAAAAAGAAAGAAAATTCATAAGCAAATTTCCATCTATCACAACGAAATAATTGCTCAATCACAAATGTGTCCATAAAACGTGTATTAAAAATTATAGATCATGCATTAATATGAAAATCTGTTGATATTCTTAAAAAGTAAAAGAATATACTACATATTCAAAGTAGTTGTGTAATTTTTTAATAATAATACAGCATTATAATCGTAGTTAACGAAACTTTATTATAATTCATGCTCTCAAGTAGGAAATTCTATTTAATCTATTCTATTTAATGGATATTTCTATCACATGTTATTATATGGACAGACTTCAAGATTTCGTTTATGTAAGTAAATTAACGGAGAGTAGAGATAAGGGCACTGACGTACGGCTTTTACGTTGAGAAATCTCAGCCAATTAGAGAAGCTCTTTTATTCAAAAACGTATCTTCATTGCGCACATTTGTATTTATATTATTCTCGTTATTATTAACTGTGCGAATGACTTGAACAAACGACCAAGTAAATATTACACTTATTTTAATACATATATATATATATATATATATATATATATATTGGGAATAATTGTAAATTAGAATTTTTTTTTTTAAGGTAGAGCTTAGTCCAACATAAAATGAAATTTGTCGTTTACATTTAATAGATAAGTAATTTTAATTTATATATTATTTTAAAACCAATAAATTTTAATATAAATTTACATTTTATACTCGGTGTATTAAATATACAGAGCCATTGTTTAGAGATCGATAATTATAATCATTCGACTCGACATAGAATAAAAGTAAAAATAATACGAGTTTAGAATTTTTGTTTTTAATTTCGTATAATTCTCAATTAACTTACCTGTACTATATTAAAATATTTTTAAATCTTATTGGTGCTGTTGTTGTTATTATTATTCAAATATGAAATATAATAATTGTAGAGGAGCTTTTTAATTATCGAATGAATTTGTGATTTAATTTGAAGTTTTTATTTAATTCAGTTTCCGATCAAACCCGAATTCCCGAGATGTCGGCACTTCACAGTTCGGATATAACGGGTATTTGATTATCCAGAAAGCAGATATGAAAATTATTTTCACTTTCCAGGTCCTGATGCATCCGTTGTATCGAGCCTTACCATCCACACGTAGTATATAACAAGGGAATATATATATATATATATATATAGAGCCGATGCTTTTATGGATAATAGTTAAAGAAAGATCCACGTATGTATTTGTGTTGGGCAAGTCGGTACTCGTCCAATCGAGCTCCGATACACCGCGCTAGAATAATTAAGGATGCTATCGACAAGCCGGAATGGAGCTGCCGTCGACCGTCGCCCCATCTAGCAAGAGCATTAAAATGCTTCTACCGTGCATCCCCCGCGATTGCCGTCAATCTCACTTGCAAACCTCTGTCGGACCCTCGGGGGCCACCCCATCGGTCGCGTTACCCCCGATCGGCCATTGCCGACGGAGCCTCTTTAGTCCAGCGTCTCAGTCGTACTCGGGTTTATTGATTGGGGTGTCGTGGGTGGCGCGTGGCGACGTCGTGGCGCTGCCGAGGGTCGACGTAGGTGGGGATGGGGGCTGATCGCTGGCGGGGCGCCATCGCGCGAGTGCCTCGGGCGACGCACACGCCCGCGAGTGCCGTCGTAGTTTGGCGAGCAGCGGAGCAGCCTCGTCGCCGTCGCGTTCTCCCCTTGAGCGACGACGGATCTCCCCACCTCCTCCGCCCTACCGGCGCTGTTTATGTGCATGCGCCAGGACGCGTTCCGGCAAGCGTCATCCTCGTGCAGGGCTGCCAGTAGCGCAAGCTGAGGCGCGCCGGGGCTGGACGTCGGCCGTGCTGTCGCTGCCGATCCTGCAAAGGCGGAAACATGGTCATGATGGCTGGCATGGACGAGCACGAGCGCAAAGTCGGCGTCGAGTTCTACCACCTGCTCGACAAGAGCAAGCAGCTGTTCAATGGCCTGAAGGAACTGCCCGAGTACGGGCACAAGCAGTGGCACAGCTACTTCGGCCGCATATTCGACATCTACACGAAGCTATGGAAGTTCCAGCAGCAGCACCGGTGAGTCACGTCAGCGGCCAATGATACCGCCTGTACGTGTACGCTCGTGACCCTCTGCATGTGTGCCCGTCGTTCGTGTACGTACCACCGTCCCTCCCTCCCCCCTCCCAACCCCAACCACCATCCCGGCCCCCTTACGGCCCACCAACCACCCCACACATATGAGTGTGTCGTCTACCTCGCGGGGGTGAAACTCGTCTAACGAGTCTCGGCTGTTGGCTTGGGTACTCTCCTGCTCCTCTACTCTACTACTTCCCCTAGTCCACCGCCTTGAACACCTATCCCACCGCCCCACCACCCCCTTGGCCCAACCCCCCTACCGACCATCCTACCCCGTCCACCCCGCCATCCTAACCGACCACCGTCGACACCCTCTCCCTTCACTCCACCCTCGCCACAACATCAGCACCCGTCTCCTCATCTCACCTTCATCTCACCCCCCCTCCCCCCAAAAAAACCCACCCCCGCCCCCTTTCATCACTTCTCACCACCTCTCTGTCTCTCTCTTTCCTTTTCTTTTCACTTTTTCACTTCATCGTTCTACCACTGTTTCTTCTTTTCTTCATTTTAAAAGTTGATACGAGGCGGCGAAGAATTTTCCCGTTTCTGTTTCTTTGCTCGGTATTGTACACGCAGGCTCTTGAAAGGGACATCTCACAACGTGAGAATACATATATATATATATATATATGTATATATATATATATATA